CAGTTTTTGCCATCTCTAAATTAAGAGCTTTAAATTCATAGAGCATCAAAGCATGTGCTTAGGCCTCCTTTCCCTTCTTCCCAGGATGGAACTTCACATCCTTCAAGAAACTTTAGAAAATATACACCCAGCCTTACTCCTTATTCAGCTGAACTTGTGGCAGAATGAGCTCATGGCGGTGTCTTATCTCAAGTCAGTTCTTGAGTGTTTAGTTCTCAGTTTTGTTTTTCTGTACTAGTTGCAATCTAGTGCATAACACTGTGATATAATTGAACATGACTTGAACAACACCATGGGGCTGAATTAATCACTGCAAGGCAAATCTCCAAAAAGAAATGTGAAAATTTATTTTTTCCCTTTCTATGAATAAATACTTGGGCCTGTTAAAAAGTAGATTCCTGAGGTGATTTGGTGTGTTGATGGAACAAGCACCTGTTCTCTGGATTATTTCAAACCTGGGTTTTCTAATCCATACTATGGTTCTTCCCAGAGCCTGTTCTACTAAACACTAGTCCTTTGATCTGCTTCACAACCGAAATGATGTGAAATGAAATGAAATAAGCTAAAATAAGATATTTTTCATTGGGTCGTGAACATATAAAACCATGAATATTATTCCCACTTCCTAGAGTCTTAGAACACTTAGGTAGCTTGTAAAAAATACTGCAGTGATGATGAATAGATTTTCAAAACCAGTGTTTCTCAGAACTGTTAGACTAATCAATTCCTTGTTTTGTAATTATCTATTATAATTCCTCAGAACTAGTATTCTAAGAAACTCATTTGAGGAAATATCATAGCTCATCAATTTCTAGATGCTTATTTTATTCACTTTTTTATACCTCTAAAATTGGGGTGCTTCTTCTTATGTTTGATTATGTCCTGGCTTCAGTGAAATATGGCACTGTCTTAGCAACTTTCTTGCAGTTATATGTACTCTTTTAGTTATGATTGGACTCACCTGAGAGAGCTAAAAATTCAAAATGATAGTGGCTTCAATAACATAGGAATTGATCTACCACCAACAAATCTGGAGATGGGTTGTCTTCCATTAGAAGTATCCAACTCCATGGAATTGGATACCCAGGCTCTTTCTTCCTTGTTCTGTTTTCTAGAGTTTTTCTATCCAAGGTCATAAAGTGATTCAAGAGAGCTATTCCATGTCTATCTATACCCTAATTTCTACTAGCAGAAAAAAAAATTTAAAAATCAATAAAAAAGAATCAAAGTAAAGTACTATTCGTCTCTTTAAAAAAAAGTCTCAGAAACTGCCAATGGTACTTTTGCTTATATCTCATAGACTAGTGCTTAGTAAGGTGGTCACACATAGTACCCAAGTGGGAGTATGGAATGCAGTCACTTTTCTGAGTTACAAATGACGAGCTAAAATTGCTACTTATGTGAATAAATGGAAATTCTATGAAAAAGGGAAGGATTGGAGAAGAATTAGTACTACCTGCCATAGTGTGATCATGAAATATTGATATTTATAGAAGTAGATCATTAAAAAAAATTACCCTAGAAGTAGAAAATTACCCTAGAGCTAATCCTTCCAGAGTCGGAAGCATGAAGACAAATATTGTTGAAGATGAAAAATTCATTTTGCCGTTAGCATCTAAAAAATTAGCCCTATCCTCTCAAATATCAAATAGTTTAGAAGACATTGTTTGGTATTCATGCCTTGGATTGTAAAGGGCAGAACAGAATGATATTCTCTGTTGCCTTCTTTTGATTCTCAGGTCAATCTGATTATCCAAATTTAAGTTGGAGGCAAGTACAATCAGAGATAGAAGTGGTCACTCACATTCTAGATATTGTGGAGATATGGGCTCATAGTAAGAATGTTCAGAATGTCCAGAATTCGACTGGAGTGTTCTCAAGCTGCTCTGTGATTATGTTTGCATTACTCCTTCAGAGATTTTGATTCGATTAAATGTAGGAAGTACTGTAAAAAATTCTCCAGTGTACACCGTTGCCTTTAATTTTTATATTTGTTCACAATATTTTTAATCTCTAATTTTAAATAGAAATATCAAATAGAGGAGACTGTTAAAATTTAATCTCAAATTTGACTAATGTTAATTTGGGAATGCTAGATTATGACGGAAACTTTTTCCATCATAAACATTCTAAACATTAGAATTAAAAGAATTAAAAGTGCCCATATGCCACAGTGTAAATCTTTTTAAAAATAAATTTCTATTTTATTTAAGTCACTGTCACTTTGAAATTTCTGTCACTCTCAGATACTTTTGCTTTATTAAGCTATCTTTTGACACACACACATACACACACACACACACACAGTGTTTCTTGAAGCCAGACGTCTGTTACCTATTCCTAAAAGCTATTATTCTGTGATATTTACCTTCATTGGTAAGCCCATAAAACACTCTTACTTTAGAGAGGCATGCAATAATTAAGAAATAATGGGATATAAAATTTTCTCTTTGCTTATTACATTAGATTATCTGATATCATAAGGCAAATAAAATTGCAAGATAGTGTGCGCCTGTTGATCTTCAAATCCTATGAGCTTATTTTTAGGAAAAACAATATTAAATAAGTGATAAAAATTCTGAAAGATCCAATAGGTGAGCTTTATGAATTGGATCTGGCTTAGTGGGTTGGTAAATATGTTTTCAATAAAAATGTCATTTTGCTTGTTATTTCTATATTGCCTTATCTTATAGAGAAAGATTAACCATTTGTATTTTTTTAAGCAATAAATCAGAAAAGCAACAAAAGCAGACTGGTATTTATAATCCAACTCAATGTGTCTAGGGGAAAGAAACTTTTTTTAAGAATTTAAATCTACCAGTTTGATCTATATTTCCTCATTATCATGAGACATTTATTGCACACTTCCTTGTGCAATGTTTTATGTGCAAAACATTCTGATTGGCTTTGGCATATGGAAATCAAATTCTAAATAACTCAACCAGGCTGAAATGTGTGTGAAGTAATAGTTGTATTTTTATTACCTCAACAGAGCAGAAGGAAAATGCCCTAGCTATTTTATTAAATTATAAAGTATTAAATAACAACCAACACTGTACCTGTTTTTCTGGAAACTTGAGACAACTTAGTACTATCAATTTTTAAAAGCATACTGATATGCCAATAATAATAAAATTGGAAGGTATTAATAACTAATAAGATGGGTATATACCCATCAAATTTAGAAAGACTCCCTTGGAGAGTGAATCTATCTCTGTGGAACTATCTATTCAGAGCAGTAAATTTATTCTGCTCAAACTCTAGGTTTCTGCAGTCTGGTCAGTCTAATGGCATAAGAATCGAACTTGGATTTCCATGATACTGCTCTTTAAAAAAAAAACAAAACAAAATATTTTATTTATTTATTCATGAGAGACACAGAGGAGAGAGAGGCACAGACACAGGTAGAGGGAGAAGCAGGCTCCCTGCAGGAGCCAACGTGGGACTCTATCTCAGATCCCCAGGATCACACCCTGGGCTGAAGGCGGCGCTAAACCGCTGAGCTACCCGGGCTGCCCCATGATACTGCCTCTTAAAGTAGGCCCTCTACTGTGATCCGCTTGACATTTTTCTATTCTTTTCTTCCATCATCTGAATAGGAGGACTTTTAGTAATGGAACTCAGGATTTAATAACTTTCTTATCAGATGATAATAGTTTCTTTAAATCAAAACTGAACTCTCGTTAAAATTCAAATTTATAGATATTTTCGATGGATACCTTTTCAAGCTGACATGTAAATTCCGAATCTTCCTTTAGTCTTTGAAGCAATTGTGTACTTGTCAGAAGTAATTTTGCTTGCAAGACATCAGATCAGTAGCCTGACTTGTTTAATGCGGTGCACACTCATAAAACCTTTAAGTAGGTAAAATTTTAGCTTTTATAGACATTTTGCTTCTGTTGCAAAATATTAACATATTTCTGATAAAGTAAGTAAATGATAAATGGAACTTAGTGTTAAGAGTTCTAAAACCTGGATCTGATTTCAGAGGTATTTCTTATTTAACCTTAGCTTGTCATTTAACTTTTAGAAGTTTGTAGCCTCATTCATAAAATACAATGAATAATTTTTGCCATGATTATAAAACATAGAACTATTGAGAAGTTAAAATAAAATATTGAGTATTAGAACCCTTTGAAAATTCTAAAGCACTCTTAGAAATGATGTGTGTGAATGTGTGTGTATGCTTAAGTAACAAAAATATAAACAAATTCTTATTTAGTTCGAGTCCTTATTATTTATGGAAGTAAAAATTGTCACCTTTTAGAAAAGTTTGGAGACAAAACCAGGGTATTTGTTTGAGATTTTCTTTGAGTGACTTGAATGGAGCATAACTTTTAATTTACATTCTTGGAAAGACAACAGCTGAAACTGTGTCAGAACTTGGATGTGGGCTCTGAAGATATAATGGTATTGTATATTTGGCTTTCCACATTTTTCTGAAGCCCTTTTTAATCTTCAAGGATTTTCTGAATATCAACCAATTCATCCCAGTTTGGTTTCCTAATGGCTGGTGTAAAATTGGTGCTCCTTGGACCTTCTAGTGTAGTAATGCATAGTTGCCACAGATGCATTATTTCAAAATTAATTTCAGACAGAATCACACTCTCTAATATAAGAAGGGACATAAACATAAATGTTATTTATGAGGTCAAGTTTAAATAACACCATGTAGTCTTTCATATGGGTGACCCAAACTCTGATTCAAGGTGATAGAAACAATGGCTAAAATTATTGCACTATATGGTAACCCAGGAAAAATTCTACGTCTTGTTCTTCTGATTTTGCTCTATGTTAGGATTCCCTGCATTAAATTATTTTTAAATATATATGAAATAGAAATTCTACACTACTAATACTTCCAGGGATGTCATTCAGAAAACATGAGTGTACAAAATAAAAGAAATAATGATAAATGTTATAAAAGGTCACGGCATTTTCTTATAATGGTTATTGGAATACATTTGAAGAAATCTGACATGTCTGCCTCTCTTCTATAGGCTTCTTTACCTGCAACAACTGATCTTCCAGAGTTTTTTATTGCTTCTTATAAATGGCCTGGATGGACTCATGGCCCATTGGATCAAAAAAATTGTGCTGCATCATGGGCATTTTCTACTGCAAGTAATAAAAGTCATTTTAATTATTTCCTTATAATTATCCTTTTAACTCAAGATTTTGGTACAGTAATTAAAAGGTTTTAAAATTTAGAATATTTAAATGTTAATGTTTAGTCAATTAAAATAAAATCATATTCAGACCAGAGAAAGCAGCCTGACCATTATATAAAAAAACATTTTCACTCTGAAAATTGGTCTTGATTTCTAGGGTGTAATTTTAAATGGAGGATAAATCAAAAGAGCAACAAATTTCCCAAAATTTGTTTGTCCTTTGAGAGTTAAGCCCAGATGATAAGAATATAAGATACCTTTTAATCATAATATTATCAGTAATATTAATATGAACTTACACATAACTATATAATTCTTATATTCTTTTCTCTATAAATTTGCAAAAAATATGCCTCATTATTAAACTACTCTGATGTAAAGAAACACTTCAGAACAAAATAATAATGGATTCAATGGGTTTTATCATTTTAGTTAAAAACAAATTTATAGCTTTGACTCTAAAGTGATAAGAGTAGCTTCCAAATTAGTACTGCTGTTACTTCAAAAGTGTAAGGAATACTACTTTTATTGTTACTTTCATATAAGTTCACAAGTCCAATAAATCAATACTCAGGTTAATCTTAAGATTTGGTCTCTATGTTATCCTCAAAGGAGTATTAACCATACTCCAGCAAATAACTTAACCCTAACATTATGTTGATTGGCTACAATCAAAGGCCTTCATAAAACTATGTTCTAGGCTTTGAAGGTAATTCCATGAGTGCTCAGAAATAGTCTTAGCACAGAAAGCATTTTAAAATAGGGACTTTGGTTCTTAGAGAAACCAGCTCTGAAGGGTGATATTATTTTGGACAGAAAAGTACTGATATATTTTCCAAATATCATTGCTCATAGTATCAGCTAGTTCTAGAAATGATGCCTTTGGCCAATTTTGCCTCTGGAGTAGCTTCATCTGTTAAGTTTATGCTACTTCCTATTCCTCTGAAATAAATGTTCTCTGGATTTCTGATATTTGTCCTCACATATTAGGGATCCAAATGGAGGACCTGTTTGAGCCTTGTTTCATATTGATGGAAAGACATTTAATCAGATAAATCATTTGTCATTTTATGTTCATGTAGTTAATGTGTTACACCTTTTAGATGGTATCATAAGAATTTTGCTTTCAGTTAAAGCTAGTATTTCTGAACATGAAAGGAAAGATGTTGCTGGTTAAATAGTGAAGATTAACTTGTTAGCCTGATTTAGATGGCATGTTTTGGTGTCCTCAGGACCCAGCCCCACAGATGGCCTCAGCCCAGGGCTAAGTCTGGATTTGTCCCCCTACCTAATTCACCAAAACATCAGAAAGAGGGTTTTCAACACTTTTGTGGTTTCAGATGAGATGGCTTTATATTGTGTATATTCAGTATGACAAATTAGGCTCATGCTATTTTTTTCTGAGTGTGTTTATTTTTTATTTTTTATTTTTTTTTCCCGGGACGAGGGGCTCTCCGCACCAGACCCCGGTCCCGTGAGTGTGTTTAAACAAAAGAATAAACTAGGTTCTTTTAAGGATCTAGAAAATTGTGTCAGAAAGTAATAGTTAAAATAAGAAAAAATGTTTTTCAAAGAAGTCGAAAGCTATTAAATAAATAGGACATTTAAAAATATACATATATAAAACAATAGTTATTTGGCCAAATAAAATTCAAGCAAGATGTCAGAAGCTGAATAGGTGAAAGAGTTTGAAATGTCAGGAGTGATGCACGTCACAGAGCAAATGTATAAATAGAGTAAATAAGCAAGGAAAATGATAGAGTGTGTCTCAGAGGTAAAATCCAATAAAAATTTTCAAAAGAAGGGTGGAAAACAATCTGCTAAACTTCGTCATTCTAAAGTATCTCAAGTCAATTTGGGTTAAGCATTCACTGAGATTCAGAAATGTCTGTAGAAGAGGAATATATTGTGTCCTGTCGGAATTTAAAATATTTACCCTTGAGTTGGAATCTACAGATTCATGGGGCTGGGAGGGAAGTCACATTTTTCAAGCCTTTGGTTTTATAAAAGAGTCACAGATCAATGAACTGACTGACCCTAACTCAGAAATGGTCCCAGAAGCCAGGTTACTGATTCCTTGACTACTGTTGTCAAAGTATTTTTTTGAACAGGAGAATAGTTACACTCACATTTTCTTTTTTTTTTTAATAAATTAATTTTTATTGGTGTTCAATTTACCAACATACAGAATAACACCCAGTGCTCATCCCGTCAAGTGTCCCCCTCCGTGCCCGTCACTCATTCACCCCCACCCCCCGCCCTCCTCCCCTTCCACCACCCCTAGTTCATTTCCCAGAGTTAGAAGTCTTTATGTTCTGTGTCCCTTTCTGATACACTCACATTTTCAACTTTACATTTGGTTCTGAACCCTTGTACTAGAAGTCAAAGCATCAAAAATTTTCTATTTTATGAAATAGGGAATTATTTTCTTGAGAATAGTGGAGGTGATAGGAGAATGTCATTTGCTCTTATGAAATATATCCCAGCACGGTAAGAGATGGGAAACAGGGAAGTAGGAGGTTATAGATTGAACAGATATTGAGCATTTAAAATTTGAGCATTTAAAATTGGCACATGATGATGTGCCAAAATTGCACTGCAGAATTGTACATATGATGTAGTTACAAAAAACTCTGTACATACAGAAATATATATGTAAATGAATAATTTAAAAATGAATTATTTTAGAATAATTCTAAACGCCTTGAGAAGTTCTAGTATATAGACAATTTTAATGAGCAAAAACTACAACTTCTTTCGAGAAAATTGGATGGATAAAAGAAAGTTTATGACTTTGTTACCTTTAGAGGCATCCAGATGACTCAGTCAGTTAAGCATCTACCTTCAGCTCAGGTCATGATCCCAGGGTCCTGGGATGGAGCTCCTCATTGGGCTCCCTGCTCAGTGGGGAGTTTGCTTCTCCTCTCCCTCTGTTCTTTCTCCTGCTAATGCTCTCTCTCTCTCTCATAAATAAATAGATAAATAAATAAATAAATAAATAAATAAATAAATAAATAAAATCTTTAAAAAAATCTTGTAAAAGTAACTATGTTTAAATATCAAGAACAAACTATACCAGCCATCAAACAACACAAAACAATATTTGTACCAAAATTTTCTCATGATATTATCATTCATGTTTATGATGGTAGCATAATCAAAAAGATAAATAGTTTTCTGCTACTGATAGATTGATTTCCCTTTTTTATTATTCTGTGAGGATGGCATTGTGATTCTTGTTCATCATTGTAATTTCTAGTGCTTAGTACAGGGCCTGTCACTTAGCAGGTAGTCAATAATATGTGTTAGGAAAAGGAATGAACTGATAAACCATGGAATTTTTTTAAAGATTTTATTTATTTAATCATGAGAGACACACACAGAGAGAGAGGCAGAGATCCAGGCAGAGGGAGAGGCAGGTTCCAAGCAGGAAGCCCGATATGGGACGCGACCCCGGGGCTCTGGGATCATGCCCAGAGCCAAAGGTAGATGCTCAACTGCCGAGCCACCCAGGCATCCCAACAACCATGGAAATTGTATATTGTTATAAATTTATATCAAGTCTAAACAAGGTGAATTCCATGTCTATGTAGTAAGATTAGGATCATGATTTTCAAAAGTATTGTAAGGATAAAAGTGTGCTGTGTAGTTTTTAGATATAAGATTCCCATTAGAATAGATTAGCTTTTGAATGGTTTTCTGAGTGGTCAACCTAAATACCAGTTTAAAAAACTAAGATTCAATTTATTCTAATATATCAGATTAACATGATGAATTTCCAGTTAGTATTTCTATGATAAGTTTTTCTAATTTCCTCCATTTAGTTGCATTCATTTCAAAAGTTATATATTTATCTGTAACTATTCATGAGGTACAGGAGTTACAAATGTAAATGAGATATGATTTTTGCCCTCAAGGAATTTCATTTGACAGACTTCTTAATGAAAAATTCATAATTGTATAGAACATGAAAGGAACTATGGACTAGAAAAGTCTTTGAAGTTGATAAGACAATTGAGCAATACCAAAATTGGATAAAAATTATGAATGAAATTATGACCCAGTTGACTTTGCTGGAATATATAGATACATTAATGACATTGGTTTTAATTTTAAATTACATAAAGTTCTAAAGACTAGGATTCAAAAAAGGGCTATGTAAATTATTAAAAATGCCATGTACCATTTGAATATTAATCAATATTCTATTTGAAACAGGTGTGGCCGCTGACCGAATAGCAATTCAGTCCAACGGTCGATACACAGCCAATCTGTCCCCTCAGAATTTGATCTCTTGCTGTGCCAAGAACCGACATGGATGCAATAGTGGAAGCATTGATAGGGCTTGGTGGTTCCTGAGAAAACGTGGGTAAATAGCTGCCCAACATACGTTTCTAGGATTCTTGAGTTCTGTTCGGGGTTAGAATAAAGAAAAAATAAATTGCAAGATTTTTACTAAAAAATGTACAAGCTACACCTAGATAAATGTGTATATTACATTTAAATATACACTATACTTGTTATCTACTAAGATTATAAACTATTGGAAGCAATTATTTGAAACATGTATACATTCCTCACTAAATTAATAGAAAGGCTTAAGTAAGCATTGTCTTGTTGCTCTGAGTCAAACGACTCTACTGAGTCCCAATGGGAATAGATATGCTGATATCTCTGCTGAGCCTTTCTGTTACTCAGGTAGATGGATAATTCCAGGTAAAAATTAGATTAAGACTGAGATGAATAGGGATGCTGGGTGGCCCAGCATTTGAGCACTTGCCTTTGGCTCAGGGCATGATCCTGGAGTCCTGGGATCAAGTCCCACATCAGGCTCCTTGCATGGAGCCTGCTTCTCCTCCCTCTGCCTGTGTCTCTGCCTCTCTTTCTGTGTCTCTCATGAATGAATAAATAGAATCTAAAAAAAAAAGACTGAGATGAATAAATAATTTATACTTGCCTCAGCTTATCAACATCATTAAGTGTCACCATCCCATTTGATGGGAAAAGGCAGGCTATATTTTCTTACTCCCATGTAGTCTGATACCTACTGCATTCTCATATCTACTATAAGAGCTAATCTACCTAAAAGCTAGGTTATTTGGGTAAGGAAGTTGCAGCTGATTACTAGTAATATACATATATACTGCTCACCTATCCATTTATCATCCACTGAGTACTCTAGGTTTGCTAGAGAACAGTCAGGTGCTATGAGAGCATGGATGTCAGATATTGATGGGTGGCAATAAATTTATTTAAATAAATGTTCAGACATTTTGCTTAATAATGTGGTGCTTAGAATGAACAACTCAGGCTGATACCTCTCTAGTATAGTAGTGCTTGGTTGGCTTCTGTTTTGTACTATGACAAAAATTAATACTCTTTAAAAGCTTAGAAGTATAAATTAACACTGAGACTCAACCAAATCTTATTATATTGGTTTGCTTAGGTAACCATAACAAAATACTATAGATGGAAAGCTTAAACACCAGGCCTTTATTTCACAGTTCTGGAGACTGAGAAATCAAAGATCAAGATAGTAGCTGATTTAGTTCTGGTGAAAGCCCTTTTCTCATTTGTCTTCTTATTGTGTCCTTACATGGCAGAGAGTACTAGTATCTCTTCCCCTTCTTATAAAGGCACTAATTCCAGGTGGGATGCTGCCTGCATCACCTCATTTAAAGCTAATTATCTCTCAAACGCCCCCTTCTAATACCATCATGTTAAGGGGTAGGGCTTCAACATATGAATTTTGGGTGGCACAATTCAATATATAGCACTCATTATCCCAAAGTAATACATTTAATGCAAGAATTTTGTGAAGTGTGTATAATCTTTAATGGCTTTGCTTTCATCATGTTTCTTGCTCAGATTCTCTTACTTGGTTGAACACTTGAATTTTTCCGAAGCAAACCTATTGGATACTTCTATGGCTAATTCAAATTGAATATATATAAAATCAATTTTTATTGTTTATTTTCCTTATGATCTTCTATATTAAATAAATGATGTTAGTTTTGGTACCAAATAATTTGTACTTTTCTATGTTCAGTTTCAAAATCAGAAACTGAAAATGATTCTGTTTGTTTTGTGCAATGTATGTGTCTCATATCTTTCTACTCTATTAACTTTTAATATTATATTAGTGTATAGTATCTCTCCTGAAATATCATGAACTACAGAAACATAATAAGTGAAATCTTATAAGAAGGTACTTATAACTCAATAAAAATGTAAAGGCAAAACAAAACAGCTTTAATTATAAAACTTACAGAATTATGCAAAATACCACATCTAATCATAAAATCCTCTCTTTCACATTAAATGTAGCTTTTATATATTATAGTTATAAATGCAGAATGAAGTCCTTCCCTTATTAATATTACTACAGATTTTATTGACAGTCACTGTAGAAAATTAATCTTTAGGAAATTCTATACTGTAGATAAATTATTTATTAAAATGGATTGAAACAAGATTTTTTTTAAATGATAATATAAATGAGGGGTCAGAGTAGAGTATAATATATTGAACTGGTGTGTTGGAATTAATCTGCATTTTGAAAGGTACAAATGTAAAGAGTTGGGAAAATTTATAAATGTTTAATTCAGTAAAATGGCACATAGGATATATTATGGCATCTTCCTAAGTATTACCTCTTTGCTTATTCCTCATAGACTGGTATCCCATGCATGCTATCCACTTTTCAAGGACCAAAATGCTACCAATTATGGCTGTGCTATGGCAAGTAGGTCTGATGGGAGGGGAAAACGGCATGCCACAAAGCCATGTCCCAACAACATTGAGAAATCGAACAGGATCTACCAATGTTCTCCTCCATACAGAGTCTCCTCCAATGTAAGTCTAAATGGCAAGTATTAACAATGGTTAACTTTCTCAAAAAGATATAGCTCTACTGTTCTTAAAACTGTTCAAAAACTATTATATCCTAAAATAATTCTAGTTTCAGATATATTTTTTTCATAATCTTAAAGTGTCCATTAAAGACTCTCAATTTCTGATCTTTGTAATATTAGCAGAATGAATGATTTTATGGTACATATTTGCATACTTGACAGATAAAAGCTAAATCAAACCTTTTTTTCCCTGACTTTTTGGTGGTAGTAGGTCATTGTGTCAATCCTTTGTCTTACTCCACAAAATAATTGAAGTAAATATAGTCATAATGGGAAAATGACTTCTTAGATTCTAGTTTTTCATTTTGAAAGCCTGGGCAAATTTTACTGCATCATATCAGTGTTACCCAGACCTCACTTTCAGAATATCTGAACCTTCAGTGGCTTCCAGTTAATTATACAATATGGTTTAGTATTCTTACCATGGCATATAGATCTTGCTTGATTTGGTTCTGACCTACTGCCTCTACAGACTCTTGTCCTGCCTGCATCTACTCCTCCACCTGCTCCTAATGCACTTGATAAATAGGACTACTGTCTGCTCCCTAGATACATCATGCTCTCCATGCTTCTCTACTTAGCCAGGTGATGATTCCTCTGACCCAAGTGCTTATCCCACCTATTTCCATCCGGCAAAATCCCATACATGGGTCACGGCCCCGGTCAAAACTTTATCTTGTCTGTGAACCTTTCTTGACTCCTACATAGTATTAATTTTCCTTTTTGTTCCATCCCCAGGAACTTTGTGCTTGTCTCTATAGTAGAATTTATTATATCATAATGCAATTAGTTGTGCTATCTACTCCACCAAAATGTAAATCCTTTGAGGACAGTTACAGGGTTAATATTTGTTTCTGTCCTAGTTTTTCGTATATACTCTGTGATCAATGCATATATATGAATGAATGAATAAGGGAATGATCTGCCTTTTTGCTGAGGGTTGTGTCACACAGTGGGCGACAACATAGAAATCCTTATATAGTATAGCTACGCTGAGGAAGCTCACTAAACCATCATCTGGGGTTGTTCTTGGGATCAAAAGAATGGAAATGACACAAATCTCCACTGTTAAAACATGGTTTTAATTAATTATTTTTTATTCGTGACCATAAAAAGTTATTACTTTATTTCCTCTTTATTCCAAAATTACCAGCAGTTGTAGAAGTCAATAAAACAAATGGGTGCATCCTGTCTCTAGTAACTTGATCAATGTGGTATTTCACATGTGAGTATTTCAAGGCATGATTAAAAGTAAATTATAAATGGTCAAGGCACATTGGATTGTATAATTCTTAAATAGATTATATAGCACCTAACATTATACACCACACAATACATTTAGTATGTTCCGATAACAATAATGATGTTCATTGATATTTTTCCTCATTGATATTTTTCCTTCTAGGAAACTGAGATAATGAAAGAAATCATGCAAAATGGACCAGTTCAAGGTAAGCTTGGGTGAAATATGGTTGTGTTTTATTTCATTAATAAACAACATTACATTTTAATTCATGCAAGAGGAGCTTAAGAAAAACTTTGTTTTAAGTGTTCATAAAGTTTCAACAGTTCTAAGATCAGTGTAATTATAGGATATGTGCTTACCTAGTAACTTCATTATCTGCCATTTTAAGTAGATAGACACATTCATAAATTGAATTCCTAAATATTAATGACACATTTGATGAAGTCTGCTAAGTCCTTCTGAAAGTGATCATGGACCAACGACAGTCAAATATGACATGGTAAGTGGTGAAGCTCATTTATTTTTTCAGTTGTATTTAAGAATCATGCATAGTATTAGAAGTTTTCTCACTTTCATTTTAAAGAGAATAGGTAATGGATCAAAAAAAAAATCAAACTTTAGCTATAGAAAAAAATCTAAAAAAAATCACTAAACACTAAACATGTTCTGAATTTAATTCTAGAAATCCTGGGATCTTAAAAAAATGAACAAATGAGAATTTTTCCCCTTATAATTATGTAATTTTAATTGGCTCTTATAAGACTGAGGGATTCATGTGTAATTTACATGCATGCTTCAGTAAGTTAAGTTCGTGCGACAAATTTAAAGGAACACAGGCATTGGAAGTCAAGCCTGAATTTAAAATTCCATCTTTGACATTTGCTACTTAAATGACTGAGTAAATTACTTAAGCTCTCTGAATCTTCAAGTCATTGTGGTACTGTTTGAAATGTCTTCCTCTCTTAATCACTCAGAAGAAAATTGGATCATAATTCTTTAAATTGAGAGCCCCTTAGGTTTATTTTATGGTCAAGTACTTAAATGCTTATGAATTTCACATAATGAATAAAAAATAATCAAAATGGGAAATTATGGTAAGAATCAAAAATAAACATTTTAAAATAGGAAAGTTGAAATTCAAATTATTCAACATGGGTGTCAAGAATATACCCCCTGCCAGCCTGAACCAGGAGCAGGAGATAGAGCTGCAATCAAGATGGGCTCCATTCTGCCCTCAGCCTTGTTACAATTCTGTTTAGTAAGTTTGCTGCAGTTTTCCAAAAGTAAAGTTGCACTACAGTAACTTATGTAGTTACAGCTTTATAAACTCATCAAGTGTGTTTTGGTGTCAGAAACTGAAGGAAGGAGCCCCCTTCAAGTTAATTATTATGGTCTCTGTCCCACACTTCTTCAGTTGTCAGTGTTTCTCAGCAATGAAGCATTCATGGTTCTTAGGGAGAGTTGAGAAGAGCTGAAGGGGTCAATGGTTCTATAGAGGAGAAAAACCACTAGCAGTATCTTCACACTTATGTAAGAGCTGGTTGACTCATCCTGCTGTAGATGCAATGTGTTTGTCTGCACAGCATTGCCTGGGCAAACAGAGCATTTTCTCCTCTTTCAGTACAAAAGAGTGTAAAAGGCTATAGAATGCTGGATAAATAGCACTGTGTGCATTCTTCTAAAATCTGTAGAATTAAAAATAAGTTTAGGTGCTGAAATGAGAGCAAAGTAAGATCTGCATAAATTACAGTTACATAAATTCTTAAAATCCTATGGGAATGTATTTTATTTTACTTCATTTTATTTATTTATTTTGGAAGGGATATATTTTGAAGTAGATAAAGACGATTTGACCTCTTTTGAGAATATTTAAATGGCATCAGAAAAAGCATGAAACATTAAAAAAGAAAATAAAAGGTGGGACATGAAAAAGTTGTATTTGACTTGGGAATAGAAGCTTAATTTTAGGATCTATCAAATGCTTATGACCTTAGTTTTTATTTTATTTGAAAAGCATGTCAAACTAATATAGACAAGCATTGTGCACCTATCAAGGTATACTTATCTAGTCCCACCTAGAAATATTTTAAATTTATGTCTTCTACAAGTTTAAAGTCTTCACCCTGAATTGTCTAAGCCCTTCAACAGAAAAGCACATGATACAGAAAAGTAATCAAGATAAGGGAATGAAGGAGAGCTTTATGATGTATAAGCTCTTGGTTTCACTCATACGGGGAATATAAAAATAGTGAAAGAGATTATAGGGGAAAGGAGAGAAAATGAGTGGGAAAAATCAGAGCAGGTGACAAAACATGAGAGACTCCTAACTCTGGGAAAGGAACAAGGGGTAGTGGAAGGGGAGGTGGGTGGGGGGTTGGAGTGACTGGGTGACAGGCACTGAGGGGGGCACTTGACAGAATGAGCACTGGGTGTTATACTATATGTTGTCAAATTGAACTCCAACAAAAAATATTCAAAAAAAAAATAATGCAACAGTGGCTTACTTCTTGAGAGCCAGGAGAATGGAATTTTGTCAGAGTATTCTTTTGCCAAAGGTTTGCTTTTTATTCAAACTCACCAAGGAAAGGTTTGTATTTACTCCAAGGATTAAGGACAATTGCATTAAGCCCTGTTTGCCAGGTTCAGCCTTCAGTTAGCTTAATTGGAGTTTTAAGAGGCTCATGGTGAAGTCCAAGGTTAATAGATAAACAGCAATCAGTAGCCAAGTGCAGTGGGGCTTCTCTGCAAGGGTCTCAATTTCTGGTAATAGTGCTTCTGTCAATTAAGAATAGACGGTGTTTTAAAGATATAATGTATACTTAAGTAATATTCTAAATGGCTAAAAGCTGTTTTTATAAGAGAAAAACAACAAAAAAGTATTGCAGCAATTAAATCAAGTAGGAAAGAAAATTAAGTTGAATTGCAAAGTCCCTTCTTAGATTCTCCTCCTGGCAATTTAACCACTGATTGTTCTGTGAGAATTTAGAGATTTTTTTAATAAAGATTTTTAAAGAGATTTGTTTAAAACTGTTTTATTCTTTTGGGTTTTATTTTAGCCATAATGCAAGTCCATGAAGATTTCTTCCATTATAAGACAGGGATATATAGACACATTACCAGAACAAATGAAGAATCAAGAAAATATCAAAAGCTTCAGACACATGCCGTCAAACTCACTGGGTAAGGCAATTTCTTTAAAATCTTCATTTAATGCTTTTGGAAAATGAAACTGAACATACTGTATAGAGTGCATGCAGGTGCCAGAATTCTCCTTGGTAGGAGAGAGTTCCATACAAATTAAAGATTATCCAAACTTTGGCACTATTTAGTCATTATTTTAAAGTCTGGTTAAAGGGTAACTCAGTATTCTGGAAAAGATGACCATTTCCTATCTCTCACTTGAGTGTGTCCTAGAAATCTATTTTAAGGGTAAGGGAAATATATTATTGGAATAAGTTCTGTATGTAGCATAAGCAGGGGAAGGGTACAAATTCAAGTATATAAGGATTTGGGAAGAAGGTTTTAGATGGAATTATGAATGGTAGTGATTAATCAGGAATAAGGAATAGGGTCACCTTTATTTCAGCACAAGATTTTTTTTTTATTTCTGCACGTGTTATAGAAATTACACTTTTCAAATTGTGAGTAAAATACATTCATCTCTACCGGGGCAGGAAATAGTTCAAAACTGGGTTGCATTTCAAAAGTAAATAAGTAGTTTCACAAATAAGACCATGCTCACAAGAAGAGTGTGGTCATCTGAAACTACTTTCCCTAGTGCCTTCTCCAACTCATTCTAACTCTGCTCCACCTTTAGGCTCTTTCTCCTAATGTCTCAGTCCAATTCAAATGAAATGCTACAGGAAAGGTTTCTGGGTCTTTTTCTTAAATTTCCATCATTTTAAACCCTCACTTTTCTCACTTTGCCATCATGGTAAATGACTTTGTCTCATTGAACAAGTCTTTCCTGTTTAAATTTGGTTGAGCTTGTACAAAAGTAACCTCAACTCCAACCAAATCTCTGCTTTCTTCTTATTGATCTTTGAGACATTCTGAGTCAGTTCTAGGGTATGTAGACAGTTATCTTCTGTGATATCTCTTCAGTAGTCATCCCACCTTTATTTTAAATAATCTTATATTTATTTTTTTAAAAAAATATTTTATATATTATTCATGAGAGACACACACAGAGAAAGAGGCAGAGACACAGGCAGAGGGAGAAGCAGGCTCCCTGCAAGGAGCCCAATGTGGGATCCCGGATCCTGGAATCATGCCCTGGGCCAAAGGCAGACGCTCAACCACTGAGCCACCCAGACATCCCATTACTCTTATATTTCAATTACAAAATTACCACATTTAATTGAATCTAAGATACTCATTTTATGACTAGTCTTGATTTTAGGCATGTGAAAATATGTGTATCTTAGAATGGAAATACATGGCATTTCAAGTTAATGTAGATACTGAGAAACTACAGATGAGGAAAAAATGTAAAGACAATTTCACTATCCAGAAAGAACCTTTCTTGAGAGTTTGAAGTATTTTTCATTTCTCCTAGGTGTATAGCTAGAGAGAGAGAGGGAGAGGAGAGAGAAAGAGAAGAGAGAGAGAGAGAGATGGCTAGATAATTAAATATATTTAAAAAATGAGATATGGAAGTACCTACAATTTTATGACAAAGAAAATTTTGCTAAAGTATGCATTAGCAGTATATAAGAATGACAGTTCTCAGTTCTCAATATTCCTCTAAACACTGGCTGTTTGTTTTTCCATTTTAATGGTTAATTCTGTACTGCTTTGGTCACTCAGTATCACTCTTCTGGGGCCTAAGATAGTTTCCCATTACCCTACATTTTAGGTTATATGGAACAAGATGTTTGCCTTAAATTTTTAAAAAGTATCACTTAAAAAATAACAATCTGTGTATGCTCACTAAATTCATATGCAGTCCATATATGCTCATAAAAATATATTACCTAGAAAGAAGATAGTTAAAAAAATCATCCCAAATTATATTAAGCTCACACAATCATTATTAATATTTAGGGAAAAGCATGTCAAAGCACGTAAGTCTGTTTCTCTGTTGATGAAAAGAGAGACAAATGAAAATAGAAAGACAATAGATAATGATATTTTAAAATGCTAATGTTCAGGTTATTTTTAGTTGAATTTAATGAAATGAGATATATTTGGTTCATTAACAAAAGGAATGCTAGTTCCTGAAAGAACCCTCCACACTTCAGAAAAAAAAAATACTTTAAGAGAACTATAGGTGGGAGCATTAAATCATTTTTAACTGTATATTTCCATTTAAGATTATATCTATTGACTCATTTTAAAAAAGATTTTATTTATTTATTTGAGACAGAGAAGGAGAGCACAAGTATGTGTGTGGGAAGTGCAAAGGGAGATGCAGACTCCCCACTGGGCAGGAAGCCTGAGGGGGGAGGGGGTTTAATCTCAGGACCCTGAAATCATGATCTGAGCTATAAAGACCCAATAGACTGAGCCACACTGGAGCCCCTATATCTATTGATTTCTTAACAAACTGAAGAAATTTATCATTTTTATACTTCTCCCCACATCTCCTCCTTTCATACCTTATATTTATTAGAATATTATGACTTTTGTATATTATAGGATTATAGAATTTGCATTCTGCTCTGAAGCCATAGTATTAATAGTTGTTTAAACTTTATTGTAGAGTCAATGATAAGCAAATATTTTTGTGATGGCTTTTCTGTCCTTGAGCTTAATTTTTAACACTTATTTTGTTGAATTGTTTTCCAGCAACTCTTTTTTTTTAATCAAAAAGGACTCTTAATGATTGTGGTCCTTAATTTCTTACATGTTTGAGAAAGTGTTTGTTTTCCTTTAATTCAAGAATAACATTAGCTATAAAATTCTGGTACTACAGAAACTTCAGAACTTTGAGGGTGTTGCTCTAGTGTTTCTGGCATTGAGTTTTCCTGCAGAAAAATCTCTAGCTAAGCAAATGTTTTTATTTCCTTAGACATGATATGACTTTTTCAATTGATATACTAATCTTGTTTCTTTCATCCTTGAATTAAGTATATTCACTTTTAAAGGAACATATTATTACATGTTGTATCTTCTATATCTCCTATTATCTTTTTTTAGGTTAGCTTTTTTTTGTATATTTTTGTTATTGAAGTTTGATTTGCCAACATATAATATAACACACAGTGCTTATCCCATCAAGTGCTCTCCACAGTGCCCATCACCCAGTCACCCCATCCCTCCACCCACCTCCCCTTCCACTACCCCTTGTTAGTTTCCCAGAATAATGAGTCTCTTATGTTCTCTGTCTCTGATATTTCCCACTCATTTTCTCTCCTTTCCCCTCTAATCCCTTTCACTATTTTTTATATTCCCTGGATGAATGAAACCATATAATGTTTGTCCTTCTCCAATTGACTTACTTCACTCAGCATAATACCCTCCAGTTCTATCCACATTGAAGCAAATGGTGGGTATTCATCATTTCTAATGGCTGAGTAATATTCCATTGTATATATACACCACATCTTCTTTATCCATTCATCTCTTTTCTTTTCAAAGATTTTATTTATTTATTCATGAGAGACACAGAGTGAGAGACAGGCAGAGACACAGGCAGAGGGAGAAGCAGGCTCCATGCAGGGAGCCCAATGCGGGACTCAATCCCAGGTCTCCAGGATCACACCCTGGCCTGAAGGCGGTGCTAACCACTGATCCACCTGGGCTGCCCTCCTTTCATTTTTTGATGGACACAGAGGCTCCTTCCATAGTTTGGCTATTGTGGACATCACTGCTATAAACATTAGGGTGCAGGTGTCTCAGTTTTTCACTGCATCTGTATCTTTGGGGTAAATTCCCAGCAGTACAATTGCTGGGTCGTAGGGCAGATATATTTTTAAATCTTTGAGGAAACTCCACACAGTTTTCCAGAGTGGCTGCACTAGTTCACATTCCCACCAACAGTGTAAGAGGTTCCCTTTTCTCCACATCCTCTCCGACATTTGTTGTTTCCTGTCTTGTTAATTTTCACCATTCTCACTGGTGTGAGGTGGTATCTCACTGTGGTTTTGATTTGCATTTCCCTGATGGCAAGTGATGCGAACATTTTCTCATGTGCTTGTTGGCCATGTGTGGGTCTTTGGTGGAATTTCTGTTCATGTCTTTTGCCCATTTCATGATTGGATTGTTTGTTTCTTTGCTGTTGAGTTTAATAAGTTTTTTATAGATCTTGGATACAAGCCCTTTATCTGATATGTGATTTGCAAATATCTTCTCCCATTCTGTAGGTTGTCTTTTAGTTTTGTAGACTGTTTCTTTTGCTGTGCAGAAGCTCTTTATCTTGATTAAGTCCCAATAGTTCACTTTTGCTTTTGCTTCCCTTGCCTTCATAGATGTATCTTGCAAGAAGTTGCTGTGGTCAAGTTCAAAAAGGGTGTTGCCTGTGTTCTCCTCTAGGATTTTGATGGATTCTTGTCTCACATTTAGATCTTTCATACACTTTGAGTTTATCTTTGTGTCTGGTGTAAGAGAATGGTCTAGTTTCATTCTTCTGCACGTGGCTGTCCAATTTTCCCAGCACCATTTATTGAAGAGACTCTCCTTTTCCCAGTGGATTGTCTTTCCTTCTTTGTCACATATTAGTTGACCATAGAGTTGAGGGCCCATTTCTGGGTTCTCTATTCTGTTTCATTGATCTGTGTGTCTCTTTTTGTGCCAGTACCACACTGTCTTGATCATCACAGCTTTGTAGTACAACTTGAAATCCAGCATTGTGATGCCCCTGCTCTGTGTTTTTTTTCAATATTCCCCTAGCTATTTGGGGTCTTTTCTGATTCCACACAAATTTTAAGATTATTTGTTCCAATTCTCTGAAGAAAGTGCATGGTATTTTGATAGGGATTGCATTAAATGTGTAAATTGCCCTGGGTAGCATTAACATTTTCACAATATTAATTGTTCCAATCCATGAGCATGGAATATTTTTCCATCTCTTTGTGTCTTCCTCAATTTCTTTCAGAAGTGTTCTATAGTTTTTAGGGTATAGATACCTTACCTCTTTGGTTAGATTTATTCCTAGGTATTTTATGCTTTTGGGTGCAATTGTAAATTGAATTGATTCCTTAATTTCTCGTTCTTCAGTCTCATTGTTAGTGCATAGT